GAGGTATGCCAAAAATGTATGCAAAAATTTTCATTTTCGATTTCGGCCCAATAAAATATAGAAATAAAAGTGATATAAAATTAATAATAGTGTAGTGCCACGGCTGATTCAGCAGGAAATAATATTCGATGGAAGGTCACAAGGCTATTTCTTAAATTCCCGTGGGAAGTAATAATCATGGGAATTTATTTTTACGTTTCAAACTCTTTAGAACATTTTGCATATCTTAGAAAATTTGGATATGTGTATGTATGTTTTGATACAATTTTTCATCCACTATTCAAACTAATTCGAAAGGTTGAAACATTTAAATTTTATTTTAACTATTAACTTTTCAGTATTTGTCGATAATTTTGTCAAGAATAGGTACATCATTCAAATCAATATTTGAATCCCAAAATATATTCTTCCTATATGCATATTTAACTTGACCACGATGCGCGAATATCAAAGATTAAACTTCGTCATTGTATAATGTATGTAATGCAAATTACAAAAGAACCCTGAATTCATCCAGTACCTCTTGTGCATTTGCGGTAAATTATTTCAATTTTAAGTTATTTATCTAAAATTTTGAAGACATAGCAAACAACGACTTTGCATGTCAAAAAGTTTAAAGTCTCTATTATTCAAATATTGGACTCACAAGTCAGTTTTACGTAACTCACTTTTATTCAGCCTATTTCACTTCGCACAAGGAAATATCTGGATGCCCTCGTAAATGTTGCGGCCGTGCGACAAAATTATTCATGAAGTCTAAGTGCATTTTCCTCGGTTCTTTTGCAGTTCTGGCTTTTCAGAAAACTTACCGAGCGCTTTTATTCCCAGGGACGATCTTGGATTTTTTATCAACACATTCTAAACTGTTCATTCACTCCAAGCTGACATGAAATCAGACATACTACATATATACAAGCATATATATAAACTTTTTATATGCGAGTATATATATATATATATATATATATATATTAGGGTGGTCCTTCATATGGATGTTTCGAATTTCCTTGCTTCCAGTAGCTCAAATGCTTCCAAATTAATAAAAAAAAATATTATTTTTAATATTGTTTTATCTATAAGTCCGCTCTCCAACCACGTGAAATTTGTTATATTTATCAATGACATTACATTTTTTCTAAACGACTAACATCAAACATTTTGATATCGTATAAATCTCTTTCGAATATTTAACATTTTTATTGATAGTACGATTTAACACATTATCTTATGTATTACTGAAAATTTGTTATGTATAATTTATTATTGATGCAGAATATGTAATATTAGAAATACTTGAAATAGTTAATTAGGTTGGCAACTAAGTAAGTGCGAAATTTTGTTAGAAAATGCATTTTTTTCATGGAACTGAAGAACTTTATTCTGTAAGCAGAATCATTATCCCACTTTTCTAAAACTTCTGGTTTTTATTAGCAAAAGTGAATCAACTTGACACCATCATAATTATTGAATAGTTTATCATTCAAGATCTGAACAAAAGATTGAAACAAAAAGAAATCAGATGGTGCAAGATCAGAAATGCATGGTGGATACAGCAAAACATTCCAACCAAGTTCCAATCATTTTTTTCGAGTAACCAAAGATATGTGATTTCAATGTGATGGAATAAATCACTATTTAGATTTGTCAATTTAGGCCGCTTTTTGTTCGACTGCGTTGTTTAAATTAGTTGTTCACTATAAAATTGATCAGAATTGATTGTTTGGTCGGGTAAAAAGAGTAAAAGTAGTTCATTCCATTGTAATAAATCTCAAACTCTGGAAGACCAGAGCGTTTTTCATATCTGAGTGAAAAATCACCATAAGGAAATTTTGCAAACCAATTTTGACACTATCGGTTTTTAAGGCTTTGTCTTGTCATCAAAAAGCTCATGACTTTTGGTGAGCTTAAAATGCCTCCTTTAGCAGAAAACCTTAGCAGTAATAAAAAAAGAAATTATGACAAAAAATTTCGATTTGATATTCCATTTTTTATTGAATGCTAATTTCAATTTTAGTGAAAACTAAGCAATGGATCAAAAAACTTTTTTTCACTAATGGACATATAAATTGCCTACTAAATATTAACAAAAAGTGTTTCACTGATGGACTACGTCATCAAACCTAAAAATTTAATTGAAACCATCTAAGCTGAAAAACGCACTTTCACTATATCATTTTTAACACTATTTTTTTTTTTTTGTGTTAAAATAGTAAATTGAAAACAGATTGTATACATTCGAAGCGTTTGTTGAATTTATTATTCAGCAATAAAATCCATATAAAACGGTAGAACACAGTATCGATATAATTTTTTTCAACTCCCAGCCATTTGTGTATACTATGCTACTTTTTCTTGTTATGTATTATTTGCATTTATATAAAATTTATGAAATATACATGATTTAAACGTAATTTTATTTACGATTGTATATATTGAAATCGGAGTGAAGTTTATATAAGATTGCTTTTTGTACATATCTTTGTTTTCGTAACACTTTTTGTTATTTGTTTTCAGTTTTTCTCATTCTAAGACTTACTTTTTAGCATATATACAGGGTGTTCAAGATAGTATTTGACCTTAAGCTTAACTGTCCTGAAATAAAATGAGAAAAATTATCTCATGTTGTTTGGAAAATATAGGATTGCAATCAAAAATTTCCCCAAGTTTTCAAGAACTAAGACTTTTGATTGAACTATGAATTTAAATTTATTAAAATCGATAGACTTTGAGAGGTCCTTCTATAAATAAAAGTACTATAAGTATGTGGATAAGTTTCATCAAAAGTTATCACATTTAATCGGGATTGTTAAATGGTAAAATACTTGATAATTTTATAATTTTTTGTTATTCACTGCTAAAGTTCCAAAGTTCAAATGAACAGAGTTAGTAAAAATTAACCACAATGACCGAAAAATGATCTTAAGTCACCAAAGCACTTAAAAACTCATAATTTCCAATGTTACACTTAAATCCCTTATAATTTCCAAATTACATGGGATTTTTTTTAATTTTTTTGGGACACCTTGCATATGGAAGTTATTCCAGGTAAAAAAAAAGATTCTTTTCTAATTCGTAAAATTCAATATCAGAAGAAATATAATACAATACTTATATATTTCTATATATTTGAGAATATCTATTCCCTCCGTTGCATATAGATTGGCTATAAAAACTTCCTCAATTTAATTAGAATAATATAATTCACAAACTGCAATTAATATTCTAGTACTTTCCTGAAGAATATGAAATAATTATATTAAAAGTCAAAGTTATCGGGTTTATGAATATAATGAATTTTCAAACAAGTTTTTTTGAAAGAAAATTGTACGTTACAATATAAACTTCGCAGACATCGGTTCCGTTCACATCATAGGATCTCTTTGTCGACTAATTATAAATCTGATTTCTGTACGTGTACGTGTTCCGAATGAATTTACTTTTATAATAAAAATTCTTTTCAGAAACTTGCTGGTAATTCGTTATTCTTTTCACATTTTCTATTTCTCTTCTAGTTTGCCAAAACAAACTTTTCTATGAGTTTTTGATAAAATCTCTTACGGAGATAAAGATTTGAACTCTCGGTGGCGATAATGTCTGCACGTATGAAAATATTATTTCATTGGTAATATAAATACAGTCAATCTTTTGTAATTGTAGCATATTTAAGTGAACATACCATAAACAGTGGTTGCAGAAATAAAATCAAGTACATAAAATAGTCTATTCTAGTGCAAAAGTGCTTCAAAATCGAAAATCTTTCAATTGGCAATAAAGGAAAAAAGAGTGGGTGTAAGGTACACTCGCGATTGAAGTAAAACTGTTTTGCTATCATACGAGATGGTATTTAAGATAAAAATAAATACATCATATAACAATTTTGAATAATGTTTCTTATTAATATGGTAACACTCAGGATGTACACATTTTTTAATGCCAAACAATATAATAACAAATTATAAATTATATATTTATAATAGCATTAGAAATATTTATAATATTTGAAAACAATAATGTAATTAAAGCCACACTTTAAATACGACATGATCGGTCTGTCATTGTAATTAGCAATTAGAACTTGAATCTTAAAAAAATTACCTTAGAGAAATGAAGTAATAATAAGACAGTTGTAATATAGCAATCTTGAATAATTTCATTAATACTAGCAATAAATAAATTGCATAAATGTTCATTATGAAGTATATCTGTATAGGGGAAAGTCCCGAAACGCCGGACACCACCTAATACCGGACACTCTATTTAACATGTATTATTTAAGCGAATATAAATCTTTTTATAACAAAATACAAGTGCAGGGGGCGCGGGGTGCACACAGTTGCAGGATCACCAAGGCACACCTGTGGCGCACACGGCCACGGCGGGAGCAGCAACCCTTTGCTGTTTTAGGCGCAAAATCACGGTGTCACCTAAATATCAATGGAAGTAATTCTAGTGTATTTATGCATATATATTTGAGTGGCATTCTATGATAAAAGTAGTACTTGATTGTTATTCGTAAAATGGTACCACCAATATTACTAGATATTTTAAACAATTTTAGTAGGTACCACCAAATGAACGAACATGCCTGTCCCTTAGCACCGGACACTAAGTCGTCCCTTTGCGCCGGACAGTAAACATATTGATATTTCTTGTGAGAGTTGACCTAATTTATTTTAATTATTTAATTTTGTTATGTATGAGTGCTAACGGTCATTACATACCTTCATTTTTCGTATTTCCTAGTCAAAGAATGAAAATTTTATGATGAATGCTCCAGCTGAGAGCATCGGTGTGGCCCAGCCAAAAGGGTAGATAATTAGTTATTTTTTTTAAATATTTAAGAATATTCGTCAAACACAAATGTGCAGACATTCCAGAGTGTGGAGATGGCTACATATGTGCAGGTTATTTCGAAATGTCCGGTACTAAGTGCCACTGTTTAAAATCATATTTTTTGTTACCAAAGTTTGATTGATAGTATTAATTATTTTGTAGCAAAGATTGCGGTTTTGTTAATTTAGTTTGATTTCTAACTTTGTTATTTAACATAAATCATAATTTAATAAACATTTCGAGAAATATTTTTTGATTTATTTATAAATAATAGGTGTCCGCGTTAGGTGAAACCGTTGTTTCACTTGTTATGTGATTAAAATTAACATACAGTCAATTGCTAGCGATACAGTCTCATTCTTTGAGTAGCTGTAGTATGTGTCTAAATAATTTCTAAAATTATATAATAACCACGAATAAAACAAATTATTTTAATAAACTCACGTTTCTTACACGGCACAGATTTTCATTTGTTTTATTATTTTTACTATATGCGGGGGCATACTACGTATAAGCATATAATCAAAGTAATAATACGCGTGCGATACGACGACCAATCACAATCGACCCGTATAGAAATGATATCGCCTAAAGAAGTTTTACACCAAAAACATTGACAGAAATGTGGTGATAATTAAAGTAAACTTCTAGAAGCTAAATATGGTTTAGAAGCAAAATAGATGTGATGTGGGAGTTAAAGTGTTCTGTTGTACTTTTTCCTATTCTACTATAATCGTGGGTGGTTAGTGCCGAGGAGAGACAGAAGCATAAGGGGCAGTTCCTTCTTCGTGGCGAGTGTGAGACGAGCCGGTTCGTGACCGCAATACCAAACGATTCCCGATGTGTCTGGTATGAATAATGGGCGAATAGTGCTTATGTGTGACCTACTGATAATTCTATTAGCTTATACGGCGGTTATCCGCTTATTTTGTGTTTCTATATGATATGCCGGAACGCCAAACACGCAGCAACACATTAACTAAACCACTCTCACCAGATTATATCAATTCGTTATATTATATCCAATGCCCTTTTACAAACCGAACGTATTTACTGATAAATGATCTGCATATTTTCAACTTTGCCGAAACTTGGTATCGGTGATTTAGAAAAAAGTATAAACTTGTATAGAAAAAAGATAGATGCTGATAGATAAACTTGAGGGCCAATGTTCTGATAAAATAGAAGGATTTGCTATCACATATCTACACTTATAGCATAAGTCTATTTTTTATTGGCCTCGCTTACTTGAAGCATTTAGCCACCTACGTTTATTTTTTATATTCTATACTATACTAATTTTATATTCTATACTAGTCTTTCTCAAAGTGGGCGATATCGCCCCTCGGTGGGCGATTGTAATATCCAGGCGGGCGATGGGAGGTTCCTAGCTAAATTTTTTTACATGTATACACAATGTTTTAAGTGGCGTTTTATTTGCTCTCACTGGTAAAGTTTTCTAATTTAGAATGTAAGGTTACATCAACTAATATAGCACAGTATAACTATATTATTAAAATTTAAAAAAATGTTTTTAGAGATTATATAGATATGAAAAATTTGGTAGGGGGGCGCTAATTTTGATCTTCAAAGGGGGCGTTATTATATTATAAGTTTGAGAAACTTCTATACTAATCATATGAGTTGATAGTCAAGAACTGTGAAAAGACTATGTATTCGCTGTGCGATCAGGCGTTTTACACCTAAAACCCAACCTTCAAAAGCCACAAGTGTCAAATAACATTTTATCATAAATTTTATCATATACGAGTATGTGTATATTTATATAAATGTCTGACCATCTCCTTGAAACAGAGACTACTCTTCATGATTTTTTTTTTCTGTGCAATCCTCCGAGGATTATATTTTAAGAATTTACTAGTGGTCCATGGCATCGTGCCTTAAGGCAAGTTGCAGGAACTTCCTGTACCATAACCTTTTTAACATGTTTGATAATTTTGATTTTTTTTTAATTTTGAATATTTTTTATTCAGCTGTTTTAAAGGCGAAATAATTGTTAAACATTATAAATATTGGTACGGAACCCATAGAAATGAAAACAAAATTTATACACATTAATAAAATCACCATAAATTATCTGATAATTTGATGTGGATATGTCTAATGATTATTTTTGACCGCCAAATGGCATTTTTTAAAACTCTTTTTGTTGATTTTTGAAATCGCTGGACCTGCCTTCCGAAAAATTTAATCAATTCTTCACTCCGTCAATACAAGTGCGATGATTTCTCAACCATTTAAATCGGACCTTTAATTCTCTCAAAAACTGAATTATCATTTTTTGCACTTTTTGCACCGTATTTTTGAAACGGCTGGATATGCCTTCGCCAAAAATCAGCACATCTCCTAATCAATAGAAATTGAATGTTCTTTGAATCATTCAAATCGGTTGATCCGTGTTCTCAAAATCGTGGACGAAAATTTGTATCCAAACATACATAGTTACATCCAGACACAACATCCCACAAACATACTCGTACATACATTCACAACAACATACAAACATACATACATTCATTTTTTATAAGGTATGGCAAAATGTTCAAAAACCTTTAAAATGTGAAGTTATGCAAAATTTTTCATTTTCGATTTTTTACTATAACTTTAGTTAACAATAGTATATAAAATATATTTAGCTCTACATTCGCTCATTTTCGTAACGTTTACATAAATATAAATTATATTTTCAACCTCAAATATTCCTGACAGGCATTAATGAAAATTGATTATTAATTTGATCCATAGTTTCTATTTATACTCATTACGTGACTACCGGTTTCCTTCATCTATATCACTACCATAAATTTGAAGATACTGTTATCCCTAAGCCCCTTTAGTATATCAAATTATCTAACATCTTTGACACAAATTACTAAACCTTGTTTATATTACATTAAATCATACTATATTCCTATAATTTATAAAAACAACATAACATAAACATATATAGTAAACACAACTTATGGACCGATTCTGTCGCATAACGGACTAATGTTATGGCAAGGCTATGCTATAAAGAACTTTCCATACTAATTTGCTGTGTTGCTGTGCAGTCAGGCGTTTTTCTCAGGTTGTCAAATAGAAAACCTAACCTAGAAATCGCGCAAATGTCAAAAAAACGATCTTAGATAACAGGGTCTTTCCGACCCAGCTTCATAACATACGAGTAACGTTGCAGTTTATGTGTAAAACGTTTGAATGCACAGCAAATACATGACATTTTGACAGTATTTAATATAATTCAGTAGCATAATGTATGGAAGTTGGGGCGTAACATGGCCTTGCCATAACATTCGTCTGTTTTGCGGCAGAATGGTTAACCGATGGGTTGCTTTCGTGAAAAACATTAGGTTAAGTGTTAAACTGACTGGTTAATGGAAAACATAATTCTAAATAGATTTGATTGCTATTAAAACAATGAATAAAAAAAAGATCTTATGAAGGTGAAGATACAATTCTGGATTTTATAACGATCTTAATAATTTTGCAAATGTTTTTATCCAAATTATAGGTATTTATTATAAAATATAAAATCACTTTGTGGAAATTGATAAATTCGATTTTATTCCATCGTTAATAAAATAAACACGTCTCTTTATAGACAACTTGAAACTAATAAGAGATAACTTGAAGAGTTTTTTTTTTTTTTTTTTTTTTTTTTTTTATTGGCCTCGCTTACTCGAGCATTTAGCCACCTACATTATTCTATACAATCATATACAATCTTCAATTTTATACTATCTTCTTCTTCATATAATCCTATTCTTCTTCTATACTTCTTAACTAACTTATCTTCATTCTTCTTTTTACTATCTTCTCACTTCATCTTCTAACCACTATTTCTTCTTTCTTCTATACTTCTCATTACTTCTTACTTCAATTCATTTTTAAATTCTAATTATCTAATTTTTATACATTTTGATTTTTACATACATATCTTATTAGTACAATTCATAATTCTATTATTATTCCAACTAGTTAATATTATTTTTCAAATTCTGGCCGGAGATTCGAACTCGGAACCTCCAGCATGTGAATCGGGAACGCTACTCTTGAGCTAATCCCGCCACAACTTGAAGAGTTTTTCTCATTTTTATATAAAGTTGTCTAAAAAACGACGTTGAGTGTTTATTTTGTTTCTTTGCGTTGAGTGTTTTAATTGAATATAACGTTATATATCAATTTCCACAAAGTGATTTTATATTTTGCAAAAAAATCTTTATCCCTCATATTGCTTTATAACCAAAATACATCAAATGTTCTTTGTATACCAATATATGTCATTAATTGCTGTGCTCAAGCATCGATTTGGAATGTAATTGCAATTAGCTGAGCCTAGTATGATCAAGCAATCAATATCTGGTTTGCTTTGGCAATCAGTAAATATACTTGAAATCAGTTCGAGTTGTCGTCATTATACCGTGTGATTCGTGTGACTTCAAAGAGACCTCTGCCATATTAGCACATGGAAGTGATAGGTCCGACCGAAAACAGACCCGCATCGTTATAAGGTCTTACCGACACCTTTAGAGAATATTGGTTTGGATGCAAATAAATTTATGAACTAGTGGTGCATGGCATCGTGCCTTAAGGCAAATTGTTGGAACTTGCCCTACCAAAAATTATTTATTTCAAAAAAGAATCAACTAGTCTACGATGATTCAGTTATCATAAGATTTTGTCTTGCTTGTTTATATGTGAAATACACGGCAAATAGATAGACATGTTTATAATTTTTACTACCAAAAACAAGCATACAAAAACAAGCATGATCGGTTGAGAAGTTTGATTTTTTTCCAGAAAACCCAATACGTCCATTTTATGTTTCTTTGCTGTTTCAAGACATTTTGAATTATTTAACACAAAAATTGACAAAAGTGCGTATGATTTTGACTAACGTTTTGTCGAAAAGATTGTGCGAAAAAAGAATCATGCTGCAAAGGTAAGTAATGATCAGCCAAACTTTCGCATTTCGGTTTCTGAGAGAATAGTAATTTCCGATTTCAATCATTCAAAAATCATTTTATTTGTATTGATAAATTATTTAATACAAAAATTGACAAAAGTGTGTGTATGTTTGATTTTGATGTGTACCAATGCTTTATCAAAAAGACTGCACTATTGTTTTTTTTTAGTTTGAAAGCAAAATGAC